AGGCCTCTTTAAATTCAGGCCTAACGTTAAACAGCACTATCTAAGTCCAAACAAGACAACTAAAAAAAAAAAATTTTTTTTTTTTTTTTTTCAGCCTAAGTCCCAACTAGGTACTCAAAACCCAGAAAATTTGTTGAAATAGGACCAAGTCCAAACTGCTCCAAAATCCAATAATAAAAGGCTAAAATGCAATAGGCTACTATAAAGTAAACGTTTTACCTAAAATAAATAGGCTATCACACAAATAGGCTAAAATATTTAACGCTAAACACCAATAGGCCTAGGCTAGCAATAGGCTACAATGACGAAACTAGAAAATATGTAGGCCTAAGCTACCTAATACACTAGAAATGCTAGGCTAGAACGGTAACGTAGAATAAAACAACTTACAGTATGCCTAGGCTAATACTTGAAAGGCTAGAGCGGTTAACGTAGGCTAAAATCTCACAACTCTCCGTCAGCTGCTACAGCGATCTTAGCTTGAGCTCACCAAGTACTATCAGACTATCCAATCACTGGTCCAACTGTTTCGGGCGCCATTTATGTGACGTAATTTTCCTGGCGGACGACAAGAGGTAAATTACGCCACCGGTAAGAAAACGAGATCCCAGGATTCGCCCTAGTCTGGTCGCGGGGAGTTTCCCAGGAGTCGATAGTGATTCGGATAGCCTAACTTTGATAGCCCTGGTTGTCAGAGCTCGAGACGAACGTTGCGGGTTACTAAACACCCTACTCGAAATCACCACTCTAGCCTAGGGCTTGTGGGGAAATAAATAATTTTGACTTGACTCTGTGGGCAAATATCTAAATGACACACTACTAGCTAACTTAACAAATCAACAAGTAAGCTAAGTAGGCACTCCGCTTACCTACGGAGTTACGTCGTCACCCTGAAACAAACAAGGTTAGTACAAGATAGGCCTAACCTAGCCTAACTCCCACAGAGTCTGAATTTACTAAAATGATAAGAAAACAAGTTAGCCTAAGTGGTCCAGGTGAGGAACGAACAAAAAAAAACGAAACTAAAAAGGTGAAACTGCTCCTTGAGCCAAAAACGAAAAACTAAAACTTTAACTTCCTCACGTGTTCAACTTAGACCAACTTCGACAGAACTTGTCCAGCAGAAACCTGTCTGCTGGAACAGACTTTGGTACGTTTGGGGAACTTTAAAAAAAGGGTTTTAAGAATTAAAAATACCCCCGCCGCAGCAAACCTGCAGACTAAGCGAATTTCCATTTGACTGATTGGATTTACACTGAAATGTCTACTTAAAAATATAACATTTATTCTTGATTTAAATAGAATTAGTTTAACAAGTACTTAGGTTTGCTGCATCAGGGAGGGTAAAACTTTTTTTTTTTTTAATGTGAATAGTTTCGTAAGAAATAAAAACATTTTCCAAATTTGATCAAAATATGTTCACAAACAAGCAAACTACAACAGTTTACTTATTCTCCATAAGAATAACATGGGAATTTTAAATTTACAATTTTTTGGAATTTTCTCCGTAACAATTAGGCGCATAATAACGCTTCAATATACTAAGTTATTTGTTTTTTTAAGCTCTACAAAATGGTTTGGAAAGAAATTGCTAAATTTTATGTTTTTTTGGTCAAAAATGGGAAAAACCTATTTTTACCCCATAAAACCCCCCGTAAACCCCCGTTCCCATGGTCCGATCATGCTGGATCGCGAACTCGTCCGAATAAACGTACGTTTACACGTTTGTACCAAATTTCATCAAAATCGGATCATTTTTGCTCGAGTTATCGTGCTGACGGACACATATATATATATATATATAAATATATAAATATATAAATATATAAATATATAAATATATATATATATATGAATTTGAACGGATGGTGTTTTTGGCCTCTAGGGACCTCAAAACGAAAAAAAAAATCGGTCCCGCGTCCAGGTCTTACCATGAGTACTACGGTAATAGCTTATTCCCTATATGGGAAATTCGCTAAAAAAAAGAAAGTCCCAAGACGGATTATGAAACGTAATTGAAAATATATTTCACCAACTGCAGTACTTTACTCAAATTGTTGGTTAAGGCGTATGACTAGGTCTGCGAATCAGGCCTAGCCTTCAAGTTCAACCAAGTTTCGTACACGAAAACTGGTCAAGTAATATACAATAATCTGTAAGTTAGTTACAAAACTTACCCGATGACGAAATTATATCAAAATATTCACTACGAAACAATACGTACGAACTTAAGCTTTCAGAGCTTGCGATACGAACTTTAACTTGCACGAATTTTCGAGAACGAACCAAAAGCGAAACAAACTTACCAAAAGCCGGGATTACGAATGACAACTCTCCTCCACAACTCTTCTTCTTCCCTCACCTTCGTCTCAGAATCGAGACGAAAGTTAAAACGCTTCCTGATTGGTCAGCACAAACAGAGTCAGCTGAGTCCCGTGTCAGGAAAGGCAGGCGTATGACAGCTTTTCATGCTTTATAGCTGCCTCGCTCACAAAGTGGATCACCTGCTCTTATTCTCTCCCGTAGCCCGCCCTCAGACGCAGTCGAACAACCAAACAACCAAACTGACACCAACGTCGTCTGCTGTCTTGGAATTGGAGGTTAGGTGCGATGTCAGTTTAGCGCCGCGACTAGGGCACAACAACAGCTTACATTCAGCTGTTTAAGTTTCGTGGTTTAGCCGTTATTTTACCCCCTACACATTTGACCCGTTACAATTAGATCGTTTTATTTTGGATAAACTAGATTTAAACATAGATAAACATACCCCCTTAAATAATAAGAATTGTTTTCAGCTAATCCAAAATGATGACAAATCTACTAAAAAAGGAGTACGTATGTTTAATCTATGGTGTCACGTACTGTATGGAGTTCATGTTTTTGGGCCTGGAATAATTGGAATCAATGGCCATGTTTTTTTGCAGGAATGCTCGGTGGGTTCAGCACCCCCACGGCCACAAACATGAGCAATATTTTTTTTTTAAAACTTGCAATGATTCCAACGAGGAGTGGTATTCAAGCAATTAACTTAGGCCTATGGGCATGATAAAGTTTTTAATAAAGGTTTGAAGGAAATTAACTGTGACCAGACTAGGGGGCGGAAAATTATTTGGGCCTAGGGGCGCAAAAATACTAAATCCGGCCCTGCCCACAGAAATGTCACCCTATTTTATGTTACAATATGAAATTTCAATGTCAATTCCTTATAACAAATAATATATCGTTGTAAGAAAATTGCAATATAATAAACTTTTAAATATAGTATTATTTTCAAAATTAGTGCATTTACTAAAGTTCAAAGTGAGGAATTGTTAAGCTAAACGAACAGCGGGCTTTTAACATTATACCATAAAGATTGTGGTGGAAACAACTAAAATAAACACTAGCTGACCAGAACAGGGTAGATGATTTTTATCCCCCTGGAATTTTACCCCCTTGGCAAATGTGACGTCACAAACCACGGGGTAAAATTCCGGCTGCAAACTTTTGAGTTATAAGTAATAATGGACAATCATTTAAGACAAATTGAGAGACTTATATGCTGATATGGTATTATATACTGATGAAGAAGACCCGACAATCCCGATATTTATCATGGATCAGACCACGAAAGTGATGTGAAGTGTTTTTGTAAAACTTGTTTAAACAATCCAGGACGTCATATGGGCGAATGTTTAGAAAAATACCACTAAGAGAAAAACTCAAAGAAGATTAAAAGAGAACTTTCAACTTGTTGTTTGTAATTAAATAAAACAATAGTGACAATATACCTACATTTTACACGTTTAGTAAATATGTAAGTTAGTTATGTCACTCACACATCACACAGTATAACTTACGTATGTACTAAACGTGTAAAATTTAGGTATTTGGTCACTCATACAAACAACAAGTTGAAAGTTATTTTTTAATCTTCTTTGATTTATTCTCTTAGTGGTATTTTTCTAAACATTCTCCCATTATGAAGTCCTGGATTGTTTAAACAAGTTTTACAAAAACACTTAGCATTGCTTTCGTTGTCTGATCCATAATAAATATCGGGATTGTCAACTATTGTCAGTATAAAATTACAATTCTTTTATTTATTATTTTATTGTTGCTACAAAATACTGGGACGGGTGGCGTCGTCCTGTAATCCAGCTACTAGGAGGTCATGAATTGTGGATATTTATAGGCATTCACTGTGGATGCGATACTCCCTGGTGTAGATTAACGTCCGCACGGTTGAGTACTACGACTATCCGCAGTACTGTCCTGGTAATTAGACCAATTCGTATATACCAAAGGCAAAAATGTGGTTCGGATTCCACTATAAACTGTAGGTCCCTTAGTTACCATTATAGCTGTATGGACTATTAATTAACAGCTGTGTCTAAGGAATATGTTGGCCTTAGTCACTAACAAGACTACAAGATCGCGCCACTCATCCTACACTCATCTCCATTCATACTTGGCTTAAAATACCTACTTAGTATGGTCGCCATTTCATTGAAAAGTATTAAAGAATTACAATTTAAATCCTCTGTGCTAACATTGCAGGATTTCAGTGAAAACAATTCTGAACTGCCGGGAGTGAGCCGCCATGATAAATGCTGAGGGGGCGAAGGCCTTGGACTTGGCCAGTCCTGCTGATCTTTCAATCGCAAAAGGTTAAATAATATTTTAGAGTCTGAAAGCCTAATTTAAATCACACAAAACTGATTTCTTAGCTGTTTCCAAATGAGCAACTTTATTCTTAAGCACAAGCATTCAACGGAGTACAGCTTAGTCACAATGCCCATTTTACAAGTATATGGAGGCCACTTTGGATTGAACTTTCAGCTTCAGGAGGTTCCCATTTCCACCACCTTTTTGGGTCTGAATTAGGAACTCAACGCAAAAGTTCTGCCTACCACTACTATGTCCCTAGTATTCTCCCCCTAAAACTACATGTTTGAGGCAATGTCTAAGATTATTGAGTCCATAATTGCTGTCTTATAGTTTTTCCTACAGGCGTTTACCTTGAGCCTCTTCTCTGTTAGGGAAAGTCTATTCTTGCAACTCTCCGCTCTATCTCGCTCAGGCTGCTCGTGCTGGTAGCGAGCCAATGTTGTCTCCAGGTGAGCGTGTTTACGCTCCATCTCAACACATCGCTCCTCCATCAACACTAGTGCGTTGCCTTGCTCTAAGATACGCTTCTGCTGCATCTTTACTTTCTGCACCAACTCCATCTTCGATGGATCTGAACCCTGGACAATGGAAATATCATTTGAGCTCAATAAATATATATATATATATATATATATATATATACTATATATTTAATAATATAAAAACCGATATGATTCAATAAACTAATGAAAGTCAATTAGAATATTAACAAGAAATAAAAATTACAACAAACACTTTGTATGGGTACCTCTGAGGAAAATACATACCGTACTGGAAAAGTGTTTGTGAATCAAAGTTTTTTATAAATATTAGGAATATTATTTATGGACAACTGTATAACATACATAGGATTTTTATATAGGATTCTTGGAAAAAAACAGAATGGGGTACAGGAGTTCTGTCCCCATGTGTTTCAACCCCAATGCACCACTGCCGTATAACGTTTCCATAACAGATAACTAAAACAACTTACAAACACTGTATTTAATTTGCATAAATATGCAATGGTTTATCTAATATCTACCAAAGACGACGAGTTATATAGCATCAGTGGCAGTTCTAGGACCTCGTCAAGGGGTAAAGGGGGTGGGGTACAGGGGTCCTCTTCCAAAATTTTTGTATTTTTAAAGAATTTCCATGACTTTTTAAAGTCATTTTTAAAGTCTAGAACTGTGTCCAAAAGCCTCTGTTACGTTTTTATGACAAAATGTATAGTTAAATAATTGATATTTTGATGGTCCAATGGGGGGAGGGCTTTAGCCCGGCCCTATAGCTCCTTGGAACTGCCACTGTGTAGCATAGATCTACAACAATCACAAATCACTTTTGAAGTGAACTTAAGAAAGCTACTTTGCTTCTCATACTCAAACAAGATTGACCCTTTTTTAAAACTAGAGCCGTTTCAGTTTAGTTCCTAAAATTAAAAAGATTTACTTTAACAGCATTGTTTTACTTAACAACACGAGTAACAGACCAACGAGGTTCAAGGATTGCGAGAAAAGAAATAAAATTAAAATTGTAACGCTTCAAACTTCAACAAATCACCTGTTAAGACCAATTTATTGTTAATGAGGGTTATAAAATAAACAAAAACATTAACATAACCTTTCTTAGAAGTTATGAGTAATGATTGTTAATTATTAAAAAGCTGTCATAGGTAAAGTAGGGTAAACTATGTAAACTACTATTTCACTATGAAATAATTCACTGTGGGGACGTATACATTATGCCTACCTCAAGTTTACGCCAGCGATGGGTGTTGAGGGGATTTTGTAGCTCCTCCTCAAGAGCTCTTGCTTTCACCCTCTCCTTGTTAAGCTCTTTCTCCACGTGGTGAATCTCCGTGCGGAGATCCGCCATGTTGTTGAGCGAGCGAGTCAATACGTCCTTTTCCGAACTGTTCACAACCAGATATTCAAGACTCAATAATGTTCAGTCGTCAGTCGACTATTCAAAAATATATAGATATAAAGATAATTTTTTTCATTCTATTTTTCTATTCTATTTCATTCTAAAAATCCATTTTCAGGACTATTTTTCTAAAACCCGCTGTAAACCTTTTTTGAAAAAAAAAACATTTCTTTTTAACATTGTTATATCTTTATATATTTGAAATAGCAAAGTATGTTCATGCAAATCCTTTCTTTTATGAAAAAATATCAAATACCAGGGTTATTCCAAAAGTAAGGTCCGATTTGCTATAACCATTTAAAGTGGGCGCCAAGGATGAAACACGCATGCGCACCGACTCCTGGCATGCCTTGGGCGTCAAGCGCCGCCATTAGCGTTGTTATTGTTGCTGTGTGCTGTTTATATTGTCAGTTCACAATGTTTAAGACAATTGATCGGCCCGCCAATTGTGAAGTAAGGGCAGTCGGTTTTTGTCTGCAAGAAACGTTTCAGCGGCAGAAAGTCATCAGCAGATTACTGAAGTTGACGGTTCTAACATAACGAGTGACAGTAAAGTGTGCAAGTGGTTGCAAGCTTTTAATGAAGGACTGGAAAATGTTCATAATGAATCAAGATCTGGACGACCATCAGTGATTTCAGAAAATTTGGTCAATGTGGTTTGTAAGGGTTGTTTTTTTACACCTCACTTTTTTTTTAAGAAGATCACGATAGAAGTCGGAAGAAAATGTTTTTAGTTGAGGGTCATCAAAAGTAGTACGAAAGACCAAAGGTTTTTGAGGTTAAACACGGTGAGGTAAGGCTCAAGCAGTTAGCGCGAGCGCCGATGGAGCCGCCGCCGAGGCCGAGTCAGACTGCCAAAACTGGTTTCTGCGCATGACCGGCCCAGACGTGCAACAAAACCACTGGGACCGGGCGCCGCCGGACAGTCTGTGCCATTTTGTGACCCAATCAACACGTCTCTCTCTAAGGTATAGTGCCTACTTGATATCATTTTATGATTCAGGGAAACTAGTAGTTTTACGTTTTGATATTCACGAACGATATTGATTAATTGATTTGCGATAATTTGTTCACGATAAACGAGGTTTTCGATTTTGATCAGTGATCAATTGGTATTTTTTACAATTTAATTTAGATTTTAAATTGTGAAATAATTAGTTTGAAGTTAATGAAATTTTGCCGACTAGCAATATCAAATCCAAACGAGTTAGCATACACTAGGCTATTGAGGAAAGCAAAAGTTGAGTAAGGCCAATTGAGTATTCTAAAGGATTTTTACCTACACATCTTATATTTCATAACCTCTGTGTCACCTTCCAATATCCCTCCTTTTGCTGAAGCATAAGCAGCATCCTTTGGGCAGAACACGCTACTCAATTACCTAAACCCTCTTGTATCGCAGTTAAGGAGTGATTTAATAGGTTAAGCCTTAGCCTAGTTGTTATTGAAGAACTATATAATTTGAGGGTGACAATAGCCTAAGCTTGTGTAATATAACGTCATATAAACTCAATGTTGCCTTCCAAACACCTCTCCTTTTGCTGCAGTATAAGCAGCATCCTTTGGGCAGTGTACGCCATTCTATAGCCTAATACCCTATCTTGTATGCTTAACGAATTTCTGGTATTTAATTAAAACGTAGAGAGAGTTACGAAACAGAATTAACTATAAGGATATAGCTGTTTTAGTGCTCGCATAGCTAGCGTTAGCCTGTTGATTAATTGGGATCTTTAAAGGATAGTGGGGGGTCTTAGTTATTCAAATTAACCTACCGTAACCTATCCTAGATTGCTGAAGTATATTCAGCATCCTGGTTAGCTGTACAGGCTATCTACCCTTAACCTTTTTGTTGTTTAGAGCGCATTTGCGTGGGTTTAGGGTAGTGGCCGAGGTTTATACGGGCGTTTAGGTAACGATTAACCTACCGTAACCTATCCTAGATTGCTTGAAGAATATTCAGCATCCTAGTTAGCTGTACAGGCTATATACCCTTAACCTTTTTGTTGTTTAGAGCGCATTTGCGTGGGTTTAGGGTAGCGAACGAGGTTCATACGGGTGTTTAGGTAACGATTAACCTACCGTAACCTATCCTAGATTGCTTGAAGAATATTCAGCATCCTAGTTAGCTGTACAGGCTATATACCCTTAACCTTTTTGTTGTTTAGAGCGCATTTGCGTGGGTTTAGGGTAGCGAACGAGGTTCATACGGGTGTTTAGGTAACGATTAACCTACCGTAACCTATCCTAGATTGCTGAAGTATATTCAGCATCCTAGTTAGCTGTACAGGCTATCTACCCTTAACCTTTTTGTTGTTTAGAGCGCATTTGCGTGGGTTTAGGGTAGCGAACGAGGTTCATACGGGTGTTTAGGTAACGATTAACCTACCGTAACCTATCCTAGATTGCTTGAAGAATATTCAGCATCCTAGTTAGCTGTGCAGGCTATCTACCCTTAACCTTTTTGTTGTTTATAGCGCATTTGCGTGGGGTTAGGGTAGTGAACGAGGTGTATACGGGCGTTTATGTAACGATTAACCTACCGTAACCTATCCTAGATTGCTGAAGTATATTCAGCATCCTAGTTAGCTATGCAGGCTATCTACCCTTAACCTTTTTGTTGTTTAGAGCGCATTTGCGTGGGTTTAGGGTAGCGACCGAGGTTCATACGGGCGTTTAGGTAACGATTAACCTACCGTAACCTATCCTAGATTGCTGAAGTATATTCAGCATCCTAGTTAGCTGTGCAGACTATCTATCCTTAACCTCTTTGTTGTTTATAGCGCATTTGCGTGGGGTTAGGGTAGTGAACGAGGTGTATACGGGCGTTTAGGTAACGATTAACCTACCGTAACCTATCCTAGATTGCTGAAGTATATTCAGCATCCTAGTTAGCTGTGCAGGCTATCTATCCTTACCCTCTTTGTTGTTTAGAGCGCATTGGCATGGGGTTTAGGGTAGCGACCGAGGTGTGTACGGGCGTTTAGGTAACGATTAACCTACCGTAACCTATCCTAGATTGCTGAAGTATATTCAGCATCCTAGTTAGCTGTGCATGCTATCTATCCTTGACCTCTTGGTTGTATAGAGCGCATTTGCGTGGGGTTAGGGTAACGATCGGAGCGTAGCAAGGTTTAGTTTGATCCTATAACCTTTGATACCGATCCTAGTTTGCTCGAAGAACATTCAGCATCCTAACTAGCTGTACAAGCTATCGAACCTAATTCTTGAAATAGACTCTAACGCGAGAATTGAATTAACAGATAACACGACACATAGATTATACACGACAACGTTTTCTCTCGCGTCTGATAGGGTAACGATGATGAGTGAATAGCGACAACTGGTTCGCACATTTCACTGAGTTACCCTATCATTTCAATAAAGGATTTTGATTAAACACAGACGATCGACACTTTAGATTATTTGAGACGAAATTAATATTGAGTGGAATTTCAGAACAACAATATTTTGTTGGTTCACATCGACCCCTGGAAATTTAAACCCAGCATCGCTGAACTATTTTGGCAATAGGATAACGAAATCGACAAACACACAGAAATTCCCTCACATATTTATGGCGCCCGAACAGGGACTACTGAATAAGTAGTTATCGACGAAAATTTGGAAATTGTTGAAAGAAAAGTAGAAATTTGAATTTTAGACCATTTATTTGAGGAACAACGATGTTCTATCACGTAGAGAGATTCCTTAGACCATTCAAGATTCTCCTGGCATTGAATATAATGGAAGAAGGTGACAACGGGAGCGCTTCGTCACAAGGAGGCGAGCAACAATCTATCGCTACGGTCACGACCTCGTCTGGAGGAGCGGACCTACGGACATCCACTACTACGACTACTAGCTCTACGGCAGCTGGAACAGCTCAACGACCACCCTCGGATACAGAAGTAAGGGTCAGCTGGGTCTACAAGTTATCAAGATCGCAGCTTGAAGACGAGCTAGGCAAGCTGGGAACTGTACCAGAAGGAAACGCTAATCAGCTTAGAGCAGAACTTGTTCGACGGTTACGACAACGGGCCGGAAAGGAGGCGATTGAAGAGGATGATGAGTTCCACCACGCATCTCAAGAAGCACCAGCGGGTGCATCCTTAGAGTTAGAAGCCGTGAGCATCCGAGAACTTCTGGGTCTTCCACCCGATGCCAATTTTAACGAAGTCAGACGGCTGATGACACAAGCTTCAAAACCACGCCAAGCAACCTTGTCATTGAGGGAATTAATGGGCCGAACTGAGCCAACTACACACCAGACAGCTCGATCAATTGTGGGGGTTCCCGAGAGGCGAACCTCGATGCTTACTCCGATAAGGATGAAGTCTTATGCCCCAGTCTTCACACGCACTCAATCAAATGATGAAGGTGGTTTGGCAGAACAATTGGATTTTGGCTTTAACCACACGAGTGGACGCGAAGAGCCAATGGTGGCAGGTGACGTAGATTCACCAAGACTGTCGAACACTGCCTCCCTTTGTAATACCGTAAGGAAATGGAATTTGAGATTCGATGGAAGGAAAGAATCGGATGCCATCTCTTTCTTAGAGCGCTTGAATGAATTGATGGAATCGTATAGTGTGACCCCTGAGTTGATGTTGAAAGCGTTGCCCGAGCTATTGAAAGACAGTGCAATCCTATGGTATAGGAATAATCGAGAATTTTGGGGTGACTTCATGGACTTTGTCAGGGATTTTCAAATTCAGTACTTACCTCCCGGCTATCTACTTCACTTAGATGACGAAATTAGGAAGGTTCACAGACGAAACCGGATTTACTGGAGTTGGCTGGGATGACGGAAGAAGAAGTCAGCATGGATCAGATGCCGGCGTCACCTACCCTGTCGATGTCACCTGGGAGGCTACGTGACTGGGTCAGCGTGACTTCCACCACCGAGAGTTTTGAGATCATAAGCGAACCGGAAACCGAGTCGAGTCAGCTACAGACGACCCAACCCATGGAGATCGACTTTGGACC